CACCTGCCCCATCCCTCCCCAAATCTTGGTCTTGGCAAAGAAAGCATTTCCGAACTGGAGGCAAAAATACCTCGCGTCCTGTCTCTGGCATGTGACAGCCGAGGTCTCGGAATTCACAGAACATCTGTGGTTCATCTTTTCTCGCCGGCTCACTCAGAGCAGGGCCTGCCAGCAGCGAACCAGCCCGTTCCCTTAAGAGAGGTAGGTGGTGTGGCTTGGCCCGAGCGATCCGCGCGTCCCGTTAGAGCAGCCAAGGCTGGGCATGGGCGCCCGTGCTGTGAACAGTAGGTGTGGGGTCGAAGGCAGTGCTCTTCTGGGCCGGCAGGTGCCGTAGGTGAAGGCAGCCGGACTGCACATGTGCAGCTGCACAGTTCGGGTCTCGGACCCTGTAGCTTGAAAAATAACACAGGTGTGTGTCTGCACCCGAAACCCCTAGAGAAGGGATTGTGGTGTGACCATTCCTCCCCGCAGGGGTGCTTGCTTTCTCTCCCCCCCAAGTGCACATATCCTGTAGCAAATTAAAACTGAAAAAAAAAAAAAAAAAGGGCTCTTCTGACAATAGGGGACCCAGGGAATTCAGGATGGACTTAACTCAAAATCTCCCTAAAAGAAAAATCCCAAAGAATTTTAAAAAGCTTTTTTTCTTTTTTCTCTTATCTTTTTTTTTTTTTTTTTGGAGAAGTTTTTTTGTTTGTTTTTTTTGCTATAGGGTACGTGCACTCACCAGACAGAGACAGACAAAGTGAGAAATCACCCCCCAGGGGGAATGGCCACGCCGCAATCCCCCCTCCTCCATTCTCCTCTCGGGATCTTGGGCACGCACGCACACACGCCCGGCGTGAGTTTAAGCCACCGGGTCTGGGACTGAACCGCGGTCGACTGCATGGGAGTCCAGCGACATAGCATTACACTAACTGCTGGTTCCCCATCATAAGAAGTGTTTTTTCTGTTTTGTTTTGTTTTTTATGCTCTTGTGATCCTTCCCTCCTTGCAAGTAGAAAGGTTTGAAACTTCTCTGCCTCCTGGCTCCCCCTGCAGCAACTCCTCTGGAAGCCTACTGGAGTCACAGGGATTAGACTTCATGCTACCAAACTTGGAGGGTGGCCGGGCAGGTGGCTTTTCCTACTTGAAGCAAAGAACCATGTCCTTCTGCTGAGGCAGAGCAGAAGCAGCCAGCCGGGGGTACTGGCGGATCCACTCAACGTGTGGGTGATGTGGCGTGGAGGATGCAGTCCTACTCTCCCTTTGGCTGTTCGAGGGCACGCTCTGGCCTGGCATGAGGCACATGAGGCGATGCAGCCAGCTGCTGCTCTGGACTCTCACACACTTCACCCGGTTCAGGGGCGGGTTCTCCCAGCTCTGTGAGATGCTGTTTCTTGATCTAGGAGTCTGTCTGTGTCACTGTCTGATGTGCTCTTTAGCAGTGACAGGGAATGGGGCATGGCTGACCCAGAACAAGACGAGGCCTTTGGCTGGCAGTCGAGAACGCTTGAAACACAGCTGGTGGAACCAGCAGATGGCACAATGGTTCTGTTGCTGGACTCCCACGTAGTTTACTGTGGTTTGAGTCCTGGACCCGGAGGCTTAAAACTCACGCCAGGCACTTATGCATGTGTGCCAAAGATCCCGAGAGGAGAATGGAGAAGTGTGGCCATCCTCCCTGGGGGGGGGGTGATTTCTCGCTCTCTGTCTCTCTCTGGCAAGCACACACACTCTATAGCAAAACTCTCTCAAAAAGAAAAAAAGAAACACAGCCAGTAAGACGTATGAGAAGCCTAGGGGAGGTCTCTAATCAGCCTCCTGGCCTGGTCTACACGGCTGCATGCTGTTTTAAGTCAGTTATGTGGGTGCAATCTGGCTGCATCTGATTCCCTGGTCAGCTTCCGCTAGCATGAGTCACGGCACTGCCGTCTCCCCGCCTCTGACCGTGGGGCAGGAGGACACTGCACCAAAGGTATGGCAGGCCCTCCTCCAGCTCAGCTCTGCTCCTAGATGGGATCGATGAGGCTGACCCAGGACTGGTAGTTACCCACCTCACACCTCTGTACAGCTTCTCACAGCTCGCTGCGGGGGCATCCTGAATCTTCCTGGTTTGTGTGCGAAGTAAAACAGAGGTGGGCTGTTCCTTCAACAAACCCTTCAAAAGAGTTCCTACTTAATGAATTTTTTTTAGAGGTTTTTGCTATAGGGTATGTGTGCTCGTTAGAAAGAGAGACAAAGAGACAGAAACCGAGAAATCACCCCCCCTGGGGGGGATGACTACGCTGCAATCGCTTCTCCTCCATTCTCCTCTCGGGATCTTGGGCACGCACGCACATGTACCCGGTATGAGTTTAAGCCACTGGGTCTGGGACTCGAACCGCAGTCAACTACGTGGAAGTCCAGCAACATAGCCATTACGTCAACTGCTGGTCCCTGTTGATTAAATTTTAAAAAACATTTATTTACGAGTATTTGGTGTACTTTGGGAATAAGATACTCTTCTAAGAGTGAACCGTATGAATTAGAATCGGTTTCTGAAATTTATGTTCTCCATTTTCTAAGCCCTCCTCTTTCAGAGATCTAGAGGTATTTCTGTTCTAAGTTTGAGACACGCACACCCCGACAGCCAGCCGTGGATGTGCCTGGTGTGCTCAGGTCAACCCGAGTCAGAGCCCAGGGTCTTCCAGGGTCTCCAGCCCTGCCTGCTAGGTGGCACTGTGCCCCCCACGCTCCCACTGCCAGACCCAGAGGTATTTCTTAACACGATCTCGGGCACTTGATTGGTTCTCTTTCAGTAAGGATCTGGGTGTCGGGGCAATGCTTTTCAAAGCCAGCCTGAAATTACTGTCTGTGATGCCCACGTGCAGCCCGGCCAGTCCCACCCATAGGGGCTGTGCAGACAGGTCTCCAGTGTGGGTTCTTCTGTTATCCCCAGACCACCTCTACTATAACTTTTCCCAATTGGTTTATATTTATTTGAATTTATTGCATGTGTGTGTGTTTTGGGTTGTGGGGGCTGGCAGGTGGTATAGGCGCTGGACTCCCACATGGCTGACCATAGTTTGAATCCGAGACCTGGCAGCTTGTTTTCTCATTTTCCTTCTCTCTGGTGAGTGGATTTGCCCTACAGCCAATTAAAAATAATACAATTCTTTAAAAAGTTAGGGGCCAGCAGATGACACAGCAGTTATGTTGCTAGACTCCCACATGGCTGACTGTGGTTCAAGTCCCGGACCTGGTGGCTTGAAATTCTTACTGGGCATGTGTGCGTGCATGCCCAGATCCTGGGAGGAGATGAGATTGTGGCAGGGTCATCCCTGCTAGGGTATGAGTTCTCACTCTCTCTCCGTTTCTCTTTGGGAAGTGCGCATGCCCCAAGGCAAAAACATCTACCCACCAAAAAACATTGGCTAAATAGATGTTGAGTAAACCCTATCAGATAGTACACTAAACAAATTTTATCATAAGCCCTTGGTAAGTATGGCAGCTCTGTTTTATAAAGGATTATGTATATTTCAGTTTAATATCCTAAAATTCTTTTTTTTTTGGAGAGGTTTTTGCTATAGGGCGTGTGTGCTTGCCAAACAGAGAGAGATAGACAGAGAGACAGAAAGCGAGAAATCACCCCCCCCAGGGGGGATGGCCACGCCGCAATCCCTTCTCCTCCATTCTCTTCTCGGGATCTTGGGCATGCACACACACGTGCCCGGCCACCGGGTCCAGGACTCGAACTGCGGTCTACTACGTGGGAGTCCAGCGACATAGCCATTACGCTAACTGCTGGTCCCAAGATCCTACAGTTTTAAGAATAAAGGCAGCAGAGATACTTTTTAACTTTTTTTTTAAGGTTCCAAGAGGATGTTCATTGACTACTTCAGGCGTGTTAGGACAAGGAGGGTAACATACCATAGGTCTGGCACGTGACAGGTATTGCTCATTTTCTTCTATTTCCCCTTAAATTTCCAAAGTGTGATAGTCGCAAGTTAATACTAGAGAGGATATTAACTTGGGTAACTTACTGGTAACTCGGCGTTCCCGGGAGTCTAAGATGTACTCGTCCCAACACACATTTCACTATCCATCGTTTTCTCTCTTAAAGGTTTGTCCAATAATGACGGATCTTGGGAGAAATGGAACATGACAGTCCCTGGTTGCTTCGTCTGTAAGACTCGGGTTCAGGCCGTCTGTGTAAGTTCCAGGAGAGGGGGCTCTGGCCACAGAACGTCCTGCTCTCAGGGACAGCCTCTCTCTCACTAGAGTTTGGTACTTTCCTTGGGAATAACTGTTTTATCAATGCCCAAAAAGAAGGAGTGAAAAAGATATTTCCAAGACCAGCAGTTGGTGTAATGGCTAGGTCGCTGGACTCCCATGTAGTCTACCACGGCTCGAGTCCCAGAACCAGTGGCTTAAACTTACGCCGGGCACGTGTGCATGCATGTCCAAGACCCCAAGAGGAGAATGGAGGAGAAGGGATTGTGGTGTGGCCATGCCCCCTGGGGGGTGATTTCTTGCTTTCTGTCTGTCTGTCTCTTTTTTTATTTTTTGGAGAGGTTTTCGCTATAGGGTGCGTGCACTCGCCAGACAGATAGAGAGAGATAGAGAAACAGAAAGTGAGAAATGATGGTCACACCCCAATCCCTTCTCCTCCATTCTCCTCTCGGGATCTTGGGCATGCACGCACACGCGCCTGGCATGAGTTTTAAGCCACCGGGTCCGGGACACGAACCGTGGTTGACTATGTGGGAGTCCAGCGACATAGCCATTACACTAACTGCTGGTTCCCTGTCTGTCTCTTTCTGGCAAGCATATGTGCCCTATAGCAAAAAACCTCTAAAAAAAAAAAGATACTGCCAACAATTCAATTAATTACAAATGCCATTTTATTCCGTTTTCCTGCCAAACTGAATTGTTCATTCCAAATCTTTGCTTTTAAGGAATAACTGCAGGTGTAGGAAAAGAAGGGGAACCCCTTGGTGAAGGTACGGGAGAAACAGAGGGAATGTCCATTTCAGGAAAAGTTCACAACATACAAAGAATTTATTTATGCAACACAGACCTTTCTCAAATGCTTCACAGAATTCCACACAGCCATCTACTAGAAAAGTAGAATTATACACCAAAATAACGTTGTTTCTTAGTACAAATCGCTCATCGAAAGGAAGGTGGAGATAGCTGAATAACAAATAGGAGAAAAATGAGGCTGCTTCATATGACACCTGGCAGCCTTCACCCTCAATCCCAGGTCAGAGGGGTGTCCCAGCGGTGGCTCTGCCTTAACGCATGGGCATGGCCAGACCTCAGGGGTGACCTTTGGGACTGCATTAACTTGAAAAGAAAAACAAAGGTGGGAAACCCCAAAGCACATCCTCCATCTCATTCTGGTGCCAGGAGGACGACAGGTGTGGGGAACGATGGTAAATATGGACAATATTTCCCCCTCGCGATAACTGAGACCCTTTATGTTAATAACCACACAATAAAGTAGCCTCCCCCAACCGTAACTCCCTATGTCTAAAACATGCCTGAAAAATAATAAGAATAGAAATAATTCATTGAGATGTTTTAAATTACATGTACCATCATTTAAACATTACTATTTAAATCCCAGAAACTTTAGTGTGGAAGCAGCACACTTGTTTGGAAAAATACAGGCCCCAAAGTACAGCATAAAATTCCCCTCTCCCAGTATAGAACCCATTTCCCTGTGTTAAAATCAATCACGTATGTGTCAGGATTACAGACGGATGGGAAATGTTTTCATACTATAGCACGAGAGAGTGGGGTGACTCCCTCCACGGCATGTTTCCATAATTGGTGAAAATAGACTTCTCATTATGACTAAAAATATAGATTTTTTTGTTTAAACTACAGAACCCAGCAGCCAATTTTCTGCTTTGCTATTCCCCCCAAAAAAGTCAAGCAAAGTCTACAAAAATAGCAATTAAACTTTAAAAAATAGTTTGCTTCTTCGAGCAAATGTAAGTTACATTCAGATGTGATAGCGGTTTCTGAGAGACCGAGGTTGGGTGCGTCCCCTGCCGCCTGGGGCAGGGCTGACCTGCAGTTTTCGCCATCAGTAGCGGTTCTGGTATTCATGATGCCACCGGTTGAAGTCGTTGTAAAATAGAACGATGCTGCCCGAAGCCATGCCAGAAATGATGCACCTGGGAGAAAGGAGCACAGGGGAGGGGGAGGGGGTCACAAACCTGCTCCCTAGGGACCTGTCACTCAAAACAGAGCTGCCCCCCGCCCCCGACCCACAAGGTAAACCCAGAAGATGTAGTCAGCCCTGCATTCTGGAAGACTGTAATGCAGCCCTGCAAAGTGAGCTCAGAGAGAGGAGTCTAGGGGCCAGCCAGTGGCCTAGAGATTAAGGCGCTGGGCTCCCACGTGGTCAATGGTAGTTCGAGTCCCAGACCCAGCAGCTTGAAAATCACACCAGGTGTTTGTGTGTTGTGCCCCAAATCCTTAGAGGAGAATGGAGGAGACAGTATTGTGGTGTGGCCATCCCCCTGTGGGGATGATTTCTCTCTTTGTCTATCTGGTGAGCACATGTGCCCTATAGCAAAAATATCTTAAAAAAAAAAAAAAAAAGAATGGTGTCTGATGCAGACAGGTAGGGCCGCTGCTGTGTGCTCACCACCTGAGAATGGGGTGCCAGGAGGGATGGAGCTGGGTGAGCTGCGGAGCGGCCACTCCAAGGCGGAGTCCAGCGCCTTAGCCTTGTCTGCACCGTGTGATCAGGAGTCACATTCCGTCCTTCCTAGTACCTCAGATAGAGTTAGGAAGTAAAACTACAAAATCTCAACACAGAAGAAGGTAGAATTGAGGAACAAAACTCGAAGGCAGATAGAAAATAAATGGCGAAATAGCAAAAGTGAATCTTATCGGTCATTCTTTTTTCTTTTTTTAAAGAGAGATTTTTGCTAGGGCGTGTGTGCTCGTCAGAGAGACAGAAAGTGAGAAATCACCCCCTAGGCAGGATGGCCAAACCACAATCCCTGTCCTCCATTCTCCTCTCGGGATTTCGGGCATGCATGCACACACTCCCGGCATGAGTTTCAAACTGCTGGGACTCGAACCACAGTTGGCCATGTGGGAGTCCAGTGACGTAACCACTATAACACCTGCTGTCCCTGGTAATTACTGTTTCTTATGTGCATTCCCTGGACAAAGAGACAGAGGGATGGCAAGAAAGCACCCCCTACAGGGCATGGTCACGTCACAATCTCTTCTCCTCTGTCTCTCCCTCCGTTCAGAAAGCTGGGCACACACACACCCAATGTGCTTCTTAAGCTGCTATATCTGGAAATCAAACCATGTCGGCGACCATGTGGGGTCTAGTGACCTTAATCACCAGGCCATGGGCTGGCCTGATTAGGTGAGAGATTATACTCCCCAGTCAAAAGACAGAAACTGGCAGAATGGACCAAAAAAACATGACTTAACTTGATGCTGTCTATAAGAGACTCACTTTAGATCTAAGGGTGCAAATAAGCTAAAGGTTCAAGTGCGGAAAAAAGATATTCCATGCAAAGAGTAACAAAACGAAAGCTGAGGTGGCCATGCTAATATCAGACAAACAGGACACAAAATAGGATATATTGATAAAGCTCATCAAGAAAGTACGATGAGGGGCCAGCAGTTAGCGTAATGGCTATGTCGCTGGACTCCCATGCAGTCAACCGCGGTTCACGTCCCGGACCCGGTGGCTTAAACTCATGCTAGACGCGTGTGCGTGCGTGCCCAAGATCCCAAGAGGAGAATGGAGGAGAAGGGATTGCGGCATGGCCATCCCCCCTGGGGGGTGATTTCTCGCTTTCTATCTCTCTTTCTCTCTCTCTGTTTGGCAAAGCGCACGCGCCCTATAGCAAAAACCTCTCCAAAAAAAGTACAATGATTACACACTCATGAAGTGCACGTGAGTAGAACTGGAAGGGAGGAGGAGACAGGTGTACAGCAATAGAGGGAGACTTCAGTCCCGACTCTCGATAATGACAGACCAAGCAGACAGGACATTAGCAGGGAAACAGACGACTTGCACAATACCAAAACTCAGTGGAACCTAACACACACGAATAGCACAGAACACCAGCGGCATTCTATTTTTCTCAAGTGTATGTGTAACAGGACACGCAAACCACGTCGGGGGTAGGGTATAAAATATCTTAATAATTTGGGAAGATTGAAATCATACAGATACTTTTTCTGATCACAACAAAATGAAACTAGAGATTGATAACTAAAGGAAAAGAGTTCGCCAATATGTGGAAATTAGGAAATACCTTGAGACAGAGGAAAATGAAAACACAACATCCCAGAACTTAGGGGATACAGAGAAAGCAGTGCTAAGAAGGAATTTCATAGCTGCAAGCAAATACTGGATCATGGGGAAAGTCGTGATGCATTTTTTTTTGCATAGAAAAGTATGTCGTGACTTCCCTGATGATCTAATACATTAAAAAGAAGAAAGGTCTTTCTTTAATAACCTAACTTTATGGGACCAGCAGTTAGCGTAATGGCTGTGTTGCTGAACTCCCACGTTCAAGTCCTGGACTCAGTGGCTTAAACTCATGCAGGGCACATGTGCGTGCGTGTCCAAGATCCCGAGAGGATAATGGAGGAGAAGGGATTGTGGTGTGACCATCCCTCGGGGGGGTTATTTCTAACTTTCTGTCTCTGTCTCTCTCCGTCTTTCTGGCGAGCGCATGCGCCCTATAGCAAAAACCTCTCCAAATAAATAAATAAATAACCTAACTTTATGCTTTAAGAAAGTAGGGGGGAAAAAATGAAACCCAAAACTAACAGAAGAGAAATAAGAAATAAGGTGCCAGATAAAGATTATATCCCTAAATGTCACCATTTGGAAGGTTTTAGGAAACAAGAGGAATCCTTCTGTGGACTCTTTCCAGGTGGAGATAAAGGCATGTACATTTAATGTGCTTATAGCTCTTAATGGTGTCGTGGTGGCTAAGGTGCTGGAGTCCCACATGGCCAACTGTGGTTCTAGTCCCGGACCTGGTGGCTTGCTTTCTCACTTTCTCTCTCTTTCTCTCTGTCTCTCTCTCTGGTGAATGCACATGCCCTATAGCAAATTAAGAAATAATTTAAAAAATTATGTTTATGAAAAAAAGATACTTTAAAGAAACTGAAAATGCTTTACAGCAATATAATTGAAGCCTTTGCCACTTAAGTCCTGCCCTTTCCTAGAGAACTCAACCTTTGTCCAAGAGTGGTGAAACCATCAGAAAGAAAACCATGCTTTTAAAAAAGTGTTCTTAGAAACCCAAATATTCAATGTTTTGTTCTTGTTGTTTGTTTTTGTCCTCAGGAACGTGTATTGGTTGGAGAGAGACAGTGAGAAGGAAAGTGAGAAATCACCCCCCACCCCGCTAACCCCACCGCAGGGAGATGGCCATTCTGCAATCCCCTCCCCTCCATTCCCTTCCTGGGATTTGGGGCATGCAAGCACATGTGCCCAGTGCAATTTTCAAGCTGCCAGATCCAGGACTTGGACCATGGTCAGTCATGTGGGAGTCCAGCACCTTAATTGCCATACCATCTGCTGGCCCCTTCATGGCTTTTCTGACTGCACCGGGGACCCCTCCAACCCTACAGACCATTCAACTATATAAAGACATGCCCGTGAGGTTTTAACCTGCTCCTAGTAGCCCGTGCTCCCAGCGTTACCTCTGGTCATAGGACAGTGCCATGGCCCGGATGCCAGCGTCGCAGCCTGGGTAGGTGAAGAGCTGCTTGAGGTCCGACACCTGCCGCACCACGACCACGCCGTGGTCTCCTCCCGTGAGCAGGTAGTGTCCGTCCCGGCTCAGCTGCATGGCCTGCAGGGGCACAGCAAGGTTCAGAGGCCGTGAGGCTGAAAACGTGAGTCCCCACCCAGGCTGGACTAACTCCTGCACCAGGCCAGCAGCTGCAGTGCAGGCAGCAGGGAGAGAGGGCCTGGGTTTCTAGGAAATCCCGTTTTGTAGAAGACCTGCCATTTATCAAAAACCAAACGGACACCGTTAGGCAACACTTGAGGCTAAAGTTAGGCGATACTTGAGGCTATTTTTGCTTTTTTTTTAGCCAGAGGACACAAGTGCTCACCAGAAGAGAAAGAGAGAGAAAGTGAGAATGACAAAGCACCCATCCCCATGGGGGGCAGCCATGCCACAATCCATTCTCTTCCATCTCTCCCTCCTCTTGGGATTTTGTTCATGCATTTACATGTGGCCAGTGTGTTTCTTGAGCCACTGGGTCCAGGAATTAAACTCTGCAGCCAGCCATGTGAGACCCAGCTGCCTTAACCATCATGCCACAAGCTAGCTGTTTTTTGCTTTATAAATTTTTTTTAAATGAGAGGGAGATAGAAATACAGGTTTCTTGTTTGTTTGTTTGTTTGTTTGAACAGTCTCTTGCTGCCATGACACAGTCGTCCGGCCCCTACCTCCCAGTTAGCTAGGACTAAGTGTGTACCACCACATCCAATGTGTTCGGGTTGGTGTGGGATCTGAACTCAGACCTCCGCTGCAGCTCTAGCACTGCTGGTGGAACCCTGTAGCCTGTACCACTCTGGCTGGGCTGTCATTTTGCTTTTTAAGGATGAGATGGCGAATTCTTTCAATTCTGCACATGCTTCTTGAATGATGCATGTCACAGACTGGAACCCATCCTCTGAAGAGGACACTCCTAGCATCTCCTTGGTCACACGGTGGTCATGGTGAGCCATTTTACTCAAGCCTTGGCAGACAGCCAGGTGACCTCACATCCCCAGTAAAACCCTGCCTCTGCATCTCTGGCTTCAGAGAGGTGGCCTGCACCTCCGCACCTTCTAGGCCTGCAGGGCTTTGACAGTGGTTGGAAGACTTGGCAGACAGTCACAACTTCCGGGGTGACCAAAGCCCATGCTGAGCATGTTCTAGCCCAGGACTGCCAGTGCCCCAGCTGGTCACTCAGACAGCTGGTCTACTGCCCCTGGCTCCTCCTGCCAAGGCTGGACAGACCACACAGTTTTGGAATTTGCTCTTTGATCTTGTAAAAGGAGCTTCAATGAAAGAAAGTCTGTGAGCCCAAAACAGACCCCTGCCTGGTTTTGTATGGCTATTTATTACATTTTTCAATGACTAAAAAATAATTTTCCTGATGAAAGTAGAGTATGAATTCCAAATCTGAATGCCTATAAATAAAGTTTTATTAAAACACAGCTGGAACTCTTTGTTTATGGCTACCTTCACAGGGTAAGAATACAGAGCCCTCGAAGCCTGAGTTACTGACTCTGGCTCTTCACAGGAAGCATGCAAGACATCCCTGCCTACTCCAAAACCCAGTGCTGTCCCACTTCCTCCCCCCTGTCCTTCCCTACCAGCCGACTCCCTTTTCTAGCTCAGGACGATGTCACTGTCCTCTCATCAGCTGGTGGCACCGGAGTTCTAACGGTCACGGCCAACACTGCAATCTGCGTCCCCACGGGCGACCCAGACTGTGCCGTGAGCCTGGGAAGAAAACACCTCACTGCTGACGGCCAGCCAGGGTAGCACAGGCTGCAGGGCCCTGGGGAAGGTCCCGGTTCACAACCCCGTCTGCCTGCACACACCAGCTGCACACACGTCGCCACGGTCCTGGCTGGCTGGGGTAGCTGGTGGCGTGAAGATGCTGTTTCTCTCATGTAGACATGCGCACGTGCATTGTCTGCACCCTTTTTGTTTGGAGAGGTTTTTTGTTTTTTTTTTTTTTTTTTTGGCTATAGGGCGTGTGTGCTCGCCAGAAAGACAGAGAGAGACAGAGAGATAGAAAGCAAGAAATCACCCCCCAGGGGGGATGGCCACACCACGATCCCTTCTCCTCCATTCTCCTCTCGGGATCTTGGGCACGCACGCACATGCACCTGGCGTGTGCACTCTTAACTTTAGCATAGTTGTCTTAAGTCTTTAACCTACACTATGAAGAATATTTTTACATCACAGAAAGGATTTTCATAGTGATTCAGTTCATAGTCACAAAAATACCGCTAGTAGTCTCTTAAATATAGCTTATTCTGGGACCAGCAGATGGTGTAATGGTTTTGTGGCCAGACTCCTGCATAGTCGACTTCAGTTCGAGTTCCAGACCCGGCGGCTTAAAACACACCCCAGGGGTATGTGTGTGTGTGTGTCCAAAATCCTGAGAGAAGAATGAAGAAGGGATTGTGGTGTGGCCATCCCACCAGGGGGTGATAATTTCTCGCTTCCTATCTCTCTCTCCAGCGAGCTCATGCACCCTATGGCAAAAACCTCTCTTAAAAAAAGAAAGAAAAATAACCCATGTGTGGAAGATGGTTACATGTAAGTATTCTCTAAGTCTTATGATTAAATACAAATACTAAGATTTTTTAATATAAAAGTCTGCCTCTGTTCATTTCACAATGGCCGTCCCTAGGGGATATGTGGGAACTGCAGGGAGGACTGGGAACAAATAATTATTTGCTACACTTATAAAACTCAGCTGATGAAAATCCATTAACCTTATGGTTGGGGTTCACTTGAATTTGATACTGGAGGCTTTTTACTGGATAAATGCTATATTAGGACATAAATTAAAACCATTCATCTTTAACTCTTGGTTCTAGTAAGTCTCTAATCCTGCTTCTTCTGGAATGAAACAAAACCTGCAGCTTTTGGACTGACGCATCTGCAACGCTCAGAACCTGGCAGTGAAACAGGGGTCTCCCAAGGCGAAAGGCCTCTGTCGGTCTCTCTCTGAGGACCCCGTCCACCTCCCAGTGCAGCATCCGGGTGAAAATGTGGCACCGGTCTGCCCAGCCAGGGCCGACGTCGTGCTGACCTGATGCCCACCTTGGTCTCCAGGCTGGGTTACGACTAGAGACTTTGGGAAGGCCCCAGAGACAGGTTACCTCGGGCCCTGACGTCCCCAATGCTCTGGGCAGAGTGTGGCTGCCTGGATTTTAGGAGGCCCCAGTGGGCCCCAGTAGTCTGGTAGAGACAACCACATCTGAAAACCCAGACTCCGGAAAAGAAAATAATTGAGTTCCTATGGGTGAGGTGGTGGTTAGCTTTTGTTTAGGATAAAATAACTTTGCTGCTCGATACAGGCTGCCTACTTACATTTAAGTTACTCATTAAGACATGTAAACATCGTCTCGTTGATGGACTGCGATACGCTGCTGGCAAAAACGCCACTGAGCGACCTGGCGCCTAAACTGAAAACAGGTGGGCAGCTTGATTAGCGCCGAGGTGCCCGGGCTGCCTGCCTGCAGGGCCTCGGGATGTCAAAGAAACATTTCTGGTCTAAGGTGCTGGCTAATTTGTTCCCACGTCCCCTCTCCTGTCAGCTCGGGCCACAGGATGGAGCTGGGGTCTCTGCGGGCCTATGGTACCCCCTTGCTTCCTGGGGCCGTCAGCTGGGAAGCCCAGCTGGGAGCAGGGAGCTGGTTCGAGGCGAGTGCTAATCACGCAGTTGCCACTTGCAGGTTAGCGTGATGAAGTGCAGGGAGCCGGGGAGGCGGCAGTGAACTGTTTAAGCCTAAACTCCAGTGGGAAATATGAGGAGGGAAAAAACGATGGCTCCGGGGCAGAGAGGAGAGGAAGCCTGGGCGAGGTCTGCAGGAACTTCCCCGAGCCTCTGCTGCTCACTGGAATGCCACGGAAAATTGTTGCGGGCCGCTGGGGGTTCAAATTATTTCACAGATTTATTAGTGCAGCTGACAATATAATCGCAACTCAAAGTGACAGATTATCAACATTATTATTGTAAAGAAAAGAGGGAAGAAAAATCCTCTGATGTGTACTTGCTTTAAATGAAGTATTATGGGAAGGAAGGGAAAAATAAAAGCAGAGCGAGTGTGTCTGTGTGCAGGGGAGGCCGGCAGGGAGGAAGCGGCCTGGGTAGTCAGGAAGGGAGCATGGTGGTTAAGGCACTGGACTCCTACACGGCCGACCATGGTTCGAGTACCTGACCTGGAGGCTTGTGTGTGTGTGTGTGTGTGTGTGTGTGTATGTGCGCCCAAAATCCCAAGGGGAGAACAGAGGAGAAAGGATTGCAGCGTGGCCATCCCGAGGGGGGCGGGTGTGATACTCACTTTCCTGTTCTCTGTCTTACGTGTGCCCTATGGTAAAAACCTAGAAAAAAATAAAAAGTGCCCAGACCCAAGGCAGCGTGCGCCCACGATGGGACAAGGCCACCCATGCAGCGTTTCCGTCCCTTAGTCCCTTCTGGCGCCAGCACTGACGGGAGAAGGTGGCAAGGAGGCTACACCAGGGAAATCAGACGAGAGCCCTCACCCCGGCTGCCTGGTGCCAGGTGTAAACACCCGAGCTAGGTGGAACCACTCGGGGGCAGAGGCCCCATGACCCTGCGCCTACATCCCACGTCCAGAGTCCCCCCAGTACCCAGGTCACAGGCACCTCCCCTGTACCTGGGAGTGACAGGTACAGCATGGCCGCCGTTCACCCTAACCTGCACGGAGTTTGGGGGGAGATGGGCAGGACACTGACCAAGCGGCCTCCAGACAGAGCGGACCCTGTCCTTGTCCTCCAGCCCTGACCAAGGAGCCCTTTCCTGCACACGAAGCAGAGCCCCAGGCCCGCCCATGCCGCGTCCCCGTGCCCGAGGGGGAGGATGTGGAGCCCTGCTCTCATAGGCCGAGGCCTGGTCTGGCTCTCCCTGAGACGGCAAGGCCGATGCCACGCTCACCCCGAGTAGCACGGAGTCTGCGGCTCCCCCCCAGCCTGTCCGATCACGGAGAGGCCAGGCTTGGGCGATCTGCTGTCACTTCGGCTCCTATACTCTGAGCCGACCCTGAGCCGTGTCCCCCTAGCTAACATGACAGTGACAAAGCGCTGGCCGGGGCTGCTGGAAGCCACCCAGGGTGGCCTTACCAGTCCTTAAGAAAATCTCATCTTGGGGCCAGTAGAAGGCATAATGGTTATGTAGCTGGACTCCCACGTAGTCAACTGCGGTTCGAGTTCCAGACCCGGTGGCTTAAAACTCATGCTGGGCACGTGTGCGTGTGCACCCAAGTACCAAGAGGAGAATGGAAGAGAAGGGACTGTCCTGTGGCCATCCCCCCCGGGGGGGGGGTGACTTCTTGCTTTCTGTCTCTCCAGTGTGCGCACATGCCCTAGAGCAAAAATCTCTTCTACTGTGTAAAGGCCACCTAGGTCTGTCTGTCTATCTCTCCCTCTATCATGAAGGGGATAAATAAATGAAATTTTAGAAGAACAGGGGAACAGTAAGGCAGCGTCTTGTGCTGAGGGCCGTCCTTGGCCTGGGGCACATCTCCCGCCCCACGTGTCTGGCTGAGTGATGCCCAAGTGATGCCGTTGCTGGGACCCGCGGGCTCTGTGAAGTGTCCGAGCCTCCTCCAGGTGCCTTCCGATGGCTCTCTGGTGGCAGGGAAGAGGCCCTCGGCCACTCAAGCACACAGGCTTCCTCAGCGAGCCCGGCGCGCTGCCCTGCCACACTCAGGTGGAAATGGCGCCCGCTGAACACCCACGGTCACTCACCCTTATGTTGTCGTCGGTTTCCACGGTGGCCTGCAGCTTGCCGTTCACGCTGAAGGTGCAGAAGAGGCCGTTCTCATAGAAGATGACGCAGTGGCCCTCCCTGGACGCCTGGATGAGTTTTGGCTTCAGGCAGTGTTCAGGCCCCTCCAAGGTCCTCAGCAGGTCGCCATTCATGGAGTGGATCAGACACGGGCCTTCTGAGGGAAGCGGAAACAATGCAGCCGCTCAGTGAGGACAGACAATGGGAAGCCGGAGCCGGGCCACGCTGCGGCTGGGAAAGCCTTGGGAGACCTGCCGTCTTCGCGGAAGTCAGTCTGCAAACCACCAGCGGGTCTGCCAGCTCTGCCTCCCGGACAGAGGAGAGAGGCCAATCCCTCCGCCCACCTGACCCGCACAGAAAGCTTCTTTATGGGATTATGCCGGGAGGTGACATATGCCGGAGGAACTCGGAGGGCACAGGACACGTTTCAGTTCCAAGGGGGCTTCGGGGCAGGCTGCGCTGAGCCAGGCTGTGGTGCGGGCAGGTGCGGCTCCCACGTGACCTCTCCCCGGGGCCCTGGCCGGCCTCCAACAGCTTCAGCCTCCCTCCCTCCCACTACTCGCTACTTTACATTGAAAGTGGAAGGACCTAGGACCAGCAGTTGGAGTAATGGCTATGTCGCTGGACTCCCATGTAGTTGACCATGGTTCGAGTCCCAGACCCAGTGGCTTAAACTCACACCAGGCACGTGTACATGCGTGCCCAGGATCCATCGAGGGAGAAGAATGGAGGAGAAGGGATTGCAGCTGGGCCATCGCCCCTGGTGTGTGTGTGTGGGGGTGATTTCTCACTTCCTGTCTCTCTGGTGAGTGCATGCGCCCTATAGCAAAAACTAAAAAAAAAAAAAAAAAAACCCAGAAAATAAAACGTGG